AATGCGCACTCACACCCACACACGCATGCACGCACACACACACACACACACAGAGAGAGAGATTAACTGGTAAGACTGCAACAGCAATTTTTGCATATATTTGAGAATATGCAAAAATTTATAAATAAAAAATACAAAAGAGTGTCACTCAAATGCAACATACACACACACACGCACACACACGCGCACACACACACACACACACACACACACACACACACACACACACACACACACACACACACACACACACACACACACACAGATAAACTGGCAAGACTACAACAGAATTACAAATAATTACAGTTTGTATGTATATAGTTAAAATAATGTTTATTATTGTTATTATTATTATTATTAACATTTTATTTTTTAACCTAGTAAATGATTGTTTGCTGTTATTTATTTTGTTTATTTACGTTCATCACAATTGCTGTTCCCTTCTGAAGTTATTACTACTTATTGAATTAAAATTAATAAAAAATACCAATTTATTGCAAAATGTCTGTATGAAGTGTTTTGAATTATCACTAACCATCCCTTTTTTTGTTAAATTATTTGAATGATCAAATACTGAGTAACAAAAATGTTTGCATTGTGTTCCCTTTCTAACCAAATGCTATAGTTTGATTGTAATCATAACGCAAAACCTAATACTTATCTTAAAAAATTTGTTAAAAAAAATAAATAATTAGTCTTTTAGAATATCTAAATGTATATTTAAATAAAAAAAAACGAATAAGATTGAGAAATCATGTCTAAACCAACAAAAAGAATCAAAAAGCCTTTCTATGTATTTATATAGGAAGCTATAGGCAGCCTACAGGCTGTACAGGACATTGCACACATGTAACTATTTTTAAAGCCACTAGGTGGCGCTCTTCTACTTGAATTATTTTTTTTTATTAAGCTGACACTCTTATTTTGATGTGAAATGCTGTATTTATTGAAAAAAAAATATATATATATAAAATAAAAATATGTATATTAATTCTAATGGAAAAAATAGCTCATAAAAATTATATAATTAATGCAAAGTATCATAAAAAATTCTAAATAATAATCAGAAAATATTATAGAACAAAAATATATTTGAATGGTTATCCTGGGAAAAAGTAAAGTTAAATTTTAAGGCTTCGTCCGTTTTTGACCGGGAGGAAGCTAAGTGTAACCCATTTACGAAGAAGCCCAGAGGGTTAAAGTGACTGCAGCCTAATATTCTGGCTGTGTGTGTTTTTTGTTAAAGCTACACTGTGTAACTTTTTTAGTTTATTCTTAGCTAAAAACACTTAGTTCTTTCAAAAATATATGTGCTAATTAATGTATATTTACTTCGTTCAAGTAATAAAGTATTCTCGTGAGTGTATAATATGGCATTGAAAATACATATGGGTAAGGGGTTCTAATGTCGGTCGCCATGTTGCCCCTCCATCTTGAAAGTACATTAGCCAAAGAGGGACATACCCGTTAATTCAAGCTTCGCCTTTCGCGTTTTTACACTCGATGGCACCGTGTCGAATGTCAAGAGGGGGATTGCTTGAGACCGATATATAAAAACCTGAAAGCCTTTTTGAAAGTATAATATAGCCTACAATATAAACTTTGCCTTACGCTAGTGATGTCGTACAACATACAGAATAACGATAGCACTGATAAAAGTTACTTTACTAAGATTAGCTTGCATTCGTCTGGGAACCTGATAACTGATGTTAGCAATGAAATGGTAAAAAAATAACGAAAACATAAAACTATTATTCATTTTACATAGATGTCATAACCTATATGTTACCTGACAAATTAAATTACTGCAAATTATAATAGTTTTCTAAAATAACCTCATCACTTGAAGGAACACTCATGGACGAGGTCGAACTGGAAGCCATGTTAATCTTGGACTACATTGGCCACCGTAGGAGTTAAAACGAAATCGGAATTGAGAGGAACAGAAACTAATATTCACTGGATGGTCATATACCTTTTCACCGCTAGATAGGGGTAAAAATCACACAGTGTAGCTTTAATCAAACGACAAAAAACAGGGAAATCACTCACTGCTCTTGACTGAATAGCTTTTGTAACTTTAATAATGATACATCTTTTATTCAATTTATACATTGAAGATTATATGCAATCTTGTTTTACATTTGATTACTTTATTCAGTTTCTATACCTGAAAACTACTGTTAGATACCTGAAAAGCACTGTTTATTTTATTAGTATCTTTGCTCTATTGTAATAATTCGTGCTGTTGCTTGTAGTTTATTTGTTCTTTATTTGACGGTAGTCTTTTTTTCCTGTACTTAGCACGTACCGAACCGTACCGAAACTGTGACCCTGAAATCGTGATAAAAACCGAACCGTGATTAATCTGAACCATTACACCCCTAATAATATATAGTTTGCTCTACCTCGAAAATGACTTTCCCAAGTGAAAAACATTTTAAAAGCCACTTTTCCTTTTTCACTCTGTAATACATCAGATTATAGAAGTAAGATGGGTTTCAAGTTCCTCTTGTGCTGGTTGTGTGGATGAACTTACATTTTCGCTTTGATTTTCAGCTCAAACATCCCGAAGTAGTGGAACCGGCAGACGGACACCCAGATGGTTGAAGAAAAGGGTGAACATGAAAAGACAAGAGACATTGTACTTTTGATTCATTATGTTTTTTTAATTTGTTTTCATTCCAGTGAGTTTCGACATTCTTTCTGTTCAAATGTTTTGTTTTTGAAAGCGCTTCAAGAGTGACTGTGTGTGAGAGAGAAATGCGTGTGGGTAAGTCATTGTAATGATTCGGATGAGCATTAGTAAACAGAATGAAGTAGAGTGTTACACTAAGCTCTTGAAATAAACTCAAGTTTGTTTACCGTCAGGTATGTTTACTCTCACCTGTATCGTAGTATGGAAGCTTGATAAGAGCTGGTTACCTTTAGTTATGCAAGCCTCTCCGGCGGTCATGATCTGTAATACTGTGTGTGTGCGCACAATAACACTGATCAACAAACTATCTACAATAGTTAAACCTCACAGCATTGGCTCTGAATAATTTGTAAAGAAATTAGCCTTGACATCATTTACGAATGCGTGTACAATTTTCCATCAGTTTAAAAAATGTTACAAATGTATCTTACCACAAACCAATACATTATTTCTTGCAACTTTTGTCTGTGAAGGTCAAAATTAAACGAATGTGCAATGATTTGTACAAATAGTGGCACATTTGTGAATAGTTATCTTTTGTGTAAATGTATTGTGATTTGTGCCGACGACCAAAGGAAGATGTTCCGATTCAAACACAAAATGAGCTTGCACAGACAACACAAATAACTACTTATGAACAGCAAGAGACAGTTGCAACAGTTTGATAGATATTTGTGCACACGTTTAAAAGTTTAGACTAATTTCATCCTCTGTCTAGTCCTCTCTCTTCAATACAATCAAACCCTGTTGAGTCAAAATAGCTACGTTTACATGCAACCAAATGATCTGTTGGTAATCAGATTGATGACTCAGTCGGATTGAAAAGCATTCATATAAACACCACAGTTGATCCGACTGTGCTCAATACGAAATAAATTTGGGTGGGATTGAAAGGAGTAATGCAGACCTGAAATAATCCGATCAATGGCGGGGGAATAAGCATGTAAATGCTTGAATCTTACTATTTTCTCAATCTGATAAAAAAAATTCCTGTGTCGAACGTGTGTATTATTGTTTTTTATACGTTTATGACTTCGGCACACATGCAATGCACATGTAAATTAATATGTAAATCAGATTGCAAAGTTTTGAGTTCATATAAATAACTTTTAGAAACTGAAATCGGATTGGATTCATACGGTTAACAAATTCGTGCATGTAAACATACCTTATAAAAAACCACTACATTCCATTACATTTAAAACAGATCAACTAAAACTAATACATTTACTAAATAAATAATGAAAAACAGTCAGAAGTGTGATAAAAGTGTCAATTAAATTGAAGACTATTCAATTTTTCTAACAAATAAATGAAGTGGATTTAAAATCAAACCACGAAAATAAAAACAAGAAACATAGACCTAAATAGCCAAGCCAAACATCTTGAACTGTTTCAATCATGACAATTGGAAAGTTTTTTGATTGTCAAAGGTTCTGTATATAGATAAAACATGACGCTCCACAAAAAAATGATGGTGTAATCAGCAATACAATCTTAGCATCATAAGCACATTTACTTTACATGCACGTTAGTTAATGCATAAAATGAACAACATTTGAAAACAGATTTCATAAACCACAATTTTTGTATCAATTTGACATGATATTGACTCTTCAGGACACTTTTTCTTTTCTCGCATCACTGGAATGTATAGCATCAGTTCTTTACAGTGACATCAGAAAAATTATGCACAACAATAACATTTTGGGCACGTTCTGGTAGCAGGAACAGTAACCTTTGTAGTTAGATGGTATACATCAATAATAGTGTACATTTGACAGCAATAGCACAGTATCACCTCGACCAAATACATTTATATCTTGACACACTGATACATATGGCTTTAAGTTAAAAGTAGACTTTTCTTTTGAATGTTCCTATTGCACAGCATGCATGATTCCCAGGACACTATACCTTGAGTGCACTTTCAAGTTGCTTTGGGTCAAAGCATCAGCCAAATATGCACTTGTAAATGGACGTTAGATCTTCAAGAGGTGCCAGATTGTCAGCTTACGATTTGAAAAAGGCTACACGTTTATTAATAGTATTTAATATAGTTGATACTAATATTTAATTTATTTTGCACATATTGGACAAAATCTGGAGCTTGCCTGAGAAACAATAACAGACGGCACTGGTGCATTGTGGGTGAAGGGACAACACTCTAATGTGTGTAATACTAGGACTGGTTTAAGCGCAACTTTAGTTCACTGTATATCTATACACATGTACACATTCCTCCTACAACCGGAGCACTAGTTTCGGCTCCGGTCGAGATTTTAAATATCAAACGGGTTAGTGTTTAGGGATTGCTCTGATCTCCATTGTGTCGAGGAGAGTCGTACCGCATGATTTGCCGTGGGGTGCCGTACCCTGACATGCCAGCTTGAGATGCTCCGCGATTGCTTCCCATCTGCATCCCGATGAGACTCCGGCCTTGACGCAGCTGCTCCTCTGAAAACTCCCGCTTGTGGCCCTTGGTTTTCCTAAAACACAATTCCAAAGATTTAAATGCAGAAAGTGTGTTCTTAGAGGAAGCTGTAGCTGTGTTTGATTTGATTAATCCAGACTTGTGACTACTGGCATAAAGTCTTGTCCAGTTTGCAGAGAAATGACAGGGAAACATCTGTGCTTTTGTTTGTAACACTGTTAGCACAACAGAGAATGATTCGAAATGATGAACCTTTCCAGTAATTATTCCTTCTTCATACGTGCTCATTGGCCTTTTGTGATGTTACAATTGTAAGAATTGCTGCTTATTATGTAATTTAAAGGGATAGTTCACCCCAAAATGAAAACTCTGTCAGTAATTACTCGCCCTCATGTTGTTCCAACCCCGTAAGACTTTCGTTCATCTTCGGAACACAAATTAAGATATTTTTGATTAAATCTGAGAGCTGGATCACTCCTCCATAGGCTTCTTAAGGGATCGAAACTGGCCGGCCCAAAAGTTATGAAAGACATCGTTAAAATAGTCCGAGTGACTACAGTGGCTCAACCTTAAGTTTATCAAGCGACGAGAATACTTTTTGTGCGCCAAAAAACAAACAAAAATAACGACTTTATTCAACTATTCATTTCCTTCTCTGTGGGCCTCGAGATTTCACGTATGGTTTCTCGTGAATCTCGTGAATCTCGAGGCCCACAGAGAAGGAAATGAATAGTTGAATAAAGTCGTTATTTTTCTTTGTTTTTTTGCGCACAAAAAGTATTCTCGACGCTTGATAAACTTAAGGTTGAGCCACTGTAGTCACTCGCACTATTTTAACGATGTCTTTCATAACTTTTGGGCCGGCCAGTTTCGATCCCTTTAGAAGCCTATGGAGGAGTGATCCAGCTCTCAGATTTAATCAAAAATATCTTAATTTGTGTTCCGAAGATGAACGAAAGTCTTACGGGGTTGGAACAACATGAGGGAGAGTAATTACTGACAGAATTTTCATTTTTGGGTGAACTAACCCTTTAAAAGAGGTCTTTGCAATCTAATAAAATCTTCTGCTCATGAAAGACGTAATGAAAAGGCTATGGAAGCCCAATTCCGCAACATAAGAAAAAAAAAAATGCTTTAGTAAATCATAATTATGACATAAAAACCTGAAATTATGAAATGATAAGTCATTATTACATAACAGTTAACATTATGATATTAAAGTCATTATTATGAGATTAAAAGTCAAAATGATGACAAAAACTCATAATTAGGACATTCTAGGTCATAACTATGCCATAAAAAGTCAACACTGATACATTAAAAAGTCACTATGAGATAAAAAGTTGTAATTAAGAAATAAAAATTAAATATTATGACGTACTGTTATAATTATGAGATAAAAAGTTGTTTTATATGTCATAGTGCTGCCCACAAAGCTATGGCTCTGAAACAAAAGCCTATTTTAACTAAAGTAAATCATACATTGGCACTTACCAATAATTATTTGATTTGAAAATAAGCCCTTTCATTTTTAATACATCAGCAGTTCTTACAGATCGTCTCTTGCACTGTTCACACTCTAATTTATGCGCGATCGATTTAAAGCCAGCCAGACAGCCTCAGCACAGACTACATCAACCAGGTACAAATAAAACTATCTGATTGACTGATTCATCGGAATATAGATTCGATTCGTTTGCACACTATTGGCAATTCTGCAAGCTCTGAAAGGGATAGTTCACTTTGAAATAAATTTTTGGTATGTTTTAGCTTACCTCAAGGGCATCCAAGATGTAGGTGTCTTTGTTTCCGCAGTAGTTTCAATTTGGATATTTTTAGGTCAAACCGTTCTTGTCTGTCAGTCATATAATGCAGGTCTATGGTCACCACCTCAAAGAGCAGCACAGAGAAGTCCAAATTAAACATGATTTAATGACTCGTAAATGTAAGTACACATTGATGGCCTAAGACACGAAACGAGCGGTTTGTGTGAGAAAACGAACAGTATTTATATAGTTTTTGCCTCTTGTAAACACAGCCACGTCCAAGTGATCTGAGGGCGCGGGCGCTTCGGTCTTTTCCGGCAAGCGCCGGAACGCGCCGGAAGTGATCTCTCGCGCGTGTACGTCACTCATACAATTGTTTTATTGTTATTTTTTTTATTGTTTTCTTTTACGACGGTTTAAACATCCCGGATAAGCGCAAATTAGTACCATTTTAATTAGCCGTCTTACCTACAATCTCTGTTCTGTGTAAACAATGAGTGACGTACACGCACGAGGTTTCACTTCCGGCGCTTTCCGGAAAAGACCGAAGCGCCGGCGCCATCAGATCACTTGGACGTGGCTGTGGTTACAAGAGGTAAAAACGATATAAATACTGTTCGTTTTCTCACACAAACCGCTCGTTTCGTGTCTTAGGCCATCAATGTGTACTTACATTTACGAGTCATTAAATCATGTTTAATTTGGACTTCTCTGTGCATGCTCTTTGAGCTAAAACATACCAAAAATGTATTTCAAAGTGAAGTATCCCTTTAAGTGATGGATACGTTTTGATTAGATCAACTTTCGGTTTGTACACTGATAAAGTTTCAAAAGACAGAATCAGGAAAGTGATTGGAAATGCATAGGCAAATAAAGATAAATTAGAATAAAAATAGGGAAAAATATGTATTTATTTTTAGACGTTTTACACCAGCAGAGACGGCTGAATGTTTGCCCACTCAGTCTCAGTCCATCCCTGGGCAGAGTGCAAATGACTAACACCCTTTCTCTGTCCAGCTCACCTGTGAAACCAGTCTTTGTCCCCGCGGTAATGTCCATCATCCTTTGTGAGAGCTTCACTTCCCAGAGCCGTCAGTGTCCTCTGGACCGCAGCCATGTCCTTTCCTTTAAAACATGAACATGATTCCTGTGACAACGCCTGGCAAAGGCATCTTGTAATTTCCTTTATACACCATGTTAATGACAGCAGAACCTGATTTCACCAAGTTCAACATGTTCCTGGATCGACATCTTTGTGGATCCTGGACCAACTTTCCAATCAACCAATCAGATTTGAGGGACAAGTTTACAGTTTAGGCTTCCAGACAGGGTTATGTGCTTCTACGTCAGTGTTATTCACCATCATTTTACTCTGATTTTAGGGGTAACTTATGGATAGGGTTAGGTTTATGGATAGGGATATGGACTACAATGTTATTCCAGGATCAGCAAAATATGTTTACCCAGGAACGCGTTTAACTCGGCTAAATCCTTTGCCCATTTCCAGATAACATAAATGCTTCAAAACAGTACACATCACCTAGGAGGAAGTTAACAAACTTAACTTACATTAACTCTTAGGTATGGTACAAAAACGTACAGTAACTTGTTAAGTGATAAGTTTGTTTAATCAATGTTTAATATAAAGGATAATGTACAGTCGACTGATCATCACAAAATTAAACCCTGACAGTGTGATCTGGATCCCAGTGCAAAGCTGAGGTTTTTTGTAAATAATTCATGACGATATAGTGGAAAATGTATTTAAAGGGGTCATGATTCATGAACTGCATTGTTTTATTATATTTTATTACACGGCTCAGTGAAATACTTGATTCTGATTGGTCAATAGCGTCATTCAGCGGTAAGTTATTCCCAGATAACAACTGCTCAAAACAGAAAACACAGGCTCATCCGGGTCACTGAAGTCAGCAGCGCTATACGCTCGCTAGGAACGGTTTTTCTTCATGAAAGTTTTGCGTTTGGTGAGTAAATAAAATATTAAAACTCAGTTGAATCAATATTTTGTGTATAGTTATTTAATTATGCCACCCAGTATCGTGGACTCGCTCGCTCTCGTTTCATACAAAGTGGGCGTTTACACTGAAGTCTCACAGCCAATCACAGCAGTGGGCGTTTACACTGAAGTCTCACAGCCAATCACAGCAGTGGGCATTTACACTGAAGTCTCACAGCCAATCACAGCAGTGGGCGTTTACACTGAAGTCTCACAGCCAATCACAGCAGTGGGCGTTTACACTGAAGTCTCACAGCCAATCATAGCAGTGGGCGTTTACACTGAAGTCTCACAGCCAATCACAGCAGTGGGCGTTTACACTGAAGTCTCACAGCCAATCACAGCAGTGGGCGTTTACACTGAAGTCTCACAGCCAATCACAGCAGTGGGCGTTTACACTGAAGTCTCACAGCCAATCACAGCAGTGGGCATTTACACTGAAGTCTCACAGCCAATCACAGCAGTGGGCGTTTACACTGAAGTCTCACAGCCAATCACAGCAGTGGGCGTTTACACTAAAGTCTCAAAGCCAATCACAGCAGTGGGTGTTTACACTGAAGTCTCACAGCCAATCACAGCAGTGGGTGTTTACACTGAAGACTCACAGCCAATCATAGCAGTGGGCGTTTACACTGAAGTCTCACAGCCAATCACAGCAGTGGGCATTTACACTGAAGTCTCACAGCCAATCACAGCAGTGGGCGTTTACACTGAAGTCTCACAGCCAATCACAGCAGTGGGCGTTTACACTGAAGTCTCGCAGCCAATCACAGCAGTGGGCGTTTACACTGAAGTCTCACAGCCAATCACAGCAGTGGGCATTTACACTGAAGTCTCACAGCCAATCACAGCAGTGGGTGTTTACACTGAAGTCTCACAGCCAATCACAGCAGTGGGTGTTTACACTGAAGTCTCACAGCCAATCACAGAAGTGGGCGTTTACACTGAAGTCTCACAGCCAATCACAGCAGTGGGCATTTACACTGAAGTCTCACAGCCAATCACAGCAGTGGGTGTTTACACTGAAGTCTCACAGCCAATCACAGCAGTGGGTGTTTACACTGAAGTCTCACAGCCAATCACAGAAGTGGGCGTTTACACTGAACTCTCACAGCCAATCACAGCAGTGGGTGTTTACACTGAAGTCTCACAGCCAATCACAGCAGTGGGTGTTTACACTGAAGTCTCACAGCCAATCACAGCAGTGGGCGTTTACACTGAAGTCTCACAGCCAATCACAGCAGTGGGTGTTTACACTGAAGTCTCACAGCCAATCACAGCAGTGGGCGTTTACACTGAAGTCTCACAGCCAATCACAGCAGTGGGCGTTTACACTGAAGTCTCACAGCCAATCACAGCAGTGGGCGTTTACACTGAAGTCTCACAGCCAATCACAGCAGTGGTCGTTTACACTGAAGTCTCACAGCCAATCACAGCAGTGGTCGTTTACACTGAAGTCTCACAGCCAATCACAGCAGTGGGCGTTTACACTGAAGTCTCACAGCCAATCACAGCAGTGGGCGTTTACACTAAAGTCTCAAAGCCAATCACAGCAGTGGGTGTTTACACTGAAGTCTCACAGCCAATCACAGCAGTGGATGTTTACACTGAAGTCTCACAGCCAATCATAGCAGTGGGCGTTTACACTGAAGTCTCACAGCCAATCACAGCAGTGGGCGTTTACACTGAAGTCTCACAGCCAATCACAGCAGTGGGCGTTTACACTGAAGTCTCACAGCCAATCACAGAAGTGGGCGTTTACACTGAAGTCTCACAGCCAATCACAGCAGTGGGCGTTTACACTGAAGTCTCACAGCCAATCACAGCAGTGGGCGTTTACACTGAAGTCTCACAGCCAATCACAGCAGTGGATGTTTACACTGAAGTCTCACAGCCAATCATAGCAGTGGGCGTTTACACTGAAGTCTCACAGCCAATCACAGCAGTGGGCGTTTACACTGAAGTCTCACAGCCAATCACAGCAGTGGGCGTTTACACTGAAGTCTCACAGCCAATCACAGAAGTGGGCGTTTACACTGAAGTCTCACAGCCAATCACAGCAGTGGGCGTTTACACTGAAGTCTCACAGCCAATCACAGCAGTGGGCGTTTACACTGAAGTCTCACAGCCAATCACAGCAGTGGGCGTTTACACTGAAGTCTCACAGCCAATCATAGCAGTGGGCGTTTACACTGAAGTCTCACAGCCAATCACAGCAGTGGGCGTTTACACTGAAGTCTCACAGCCAATCACAGCAGTGGGCGTTTACACTGAAGTCTCACAGCCAATCACAGCAGTGGGCGTTTACACTGAAGTCTCACAGCCAATCACAGCAGTGGGCGTTTACACTGAAGTCTCACAGCCAATCATAGCAGTGGGCGTTTACACTGAAGTCTCACAGCCAATCACAGCAGTGGGCGTTTACACTGAAGTCTCGCAGCCAATCACAGCAGTGGGCATTTACACTGAAGTCTCGCAGCCAATCACAGCAGTGGGCGTTTACACTGAACTCTCACAGCCAATCACAGCAGTGGTAACAATAAAAGCTGAGTTTGGACTAACAAGGAAGTTTTCAGTTCTGAAACTTTCAGGATATTCTTATATCATGATGACCTCTTATATGTCAAAACCTCAAGGAAAATTTTATTTCTAAGTTCATGACCCCTTTAAATGTTAATTTTACTTTATTCTACTGACTTTAGTTTCTACAATACATTTGGGGTGGCAAAAACATTCATATTGTGAAATATTTTTACACTTTAAAATATTTGAACATATTTTAAAATATAAACTAATTGAACCATCAATACCAATAAAAAACTTTATTTTAAGTGTATATTCAAACAAACTGCTGTGTGTGTGCGAGTGTGTGTGTGTGTGTGTGTGTGTGTGTGCGTGCATGTGTGTGTGTATGTGTGTTTGTTTTACCTTCCCAAAGATCAACAGTTTGGAATATGTCTCCCCTGTTAACACCATATTCTTCGGCAGCCTGCAGGAACTGAGAAATCTTCTCCATTTGTTTAAAGACCATTTTAGTTTCTGTAATTTTCTTAATTGGTTCCTCGCCGCTGGGGTATAGACTGTTGATGAGCCGGCAGAGAATCTGGGATGGGGTTAAGAGAGGGAATGGGAGAAAGGAGGAACATGTATCATTAAGGTTCTGTCAGATTCTTAGTCCTAGTGATGACTAAAGCTTCGCGTCGGGAGTCCTGATCACCCTGTCCGGGTTTATTCTGCGATAACAACCGTCTGGATTTACTTTATACCTTACGTAACAAATTTAGTTGAGGCTGGAATACACTACACGACTTCTGTCTGATTTGCAGTCTGGACGAGTCAACACTAGCTGACGAAAGTAAGAGCCAGAGTCGGAGTTGACAGATTTCACAGAAAATGGCATAGTGTATTATGGGCAGAGACGTTTTAGCATTTTTGGGCAGAGATTTTTTAGCTTCAGACTTCAATTCCATCCAGTCGGAGGATATCAGACATGTTTGATATTTTTAGCCGATTTTAGAACACGTAGTTTTCATTTGTCATGCGTCTCCTATATGATTCCCAGTTGTTCTCTGTAACAATTTACAAAGTCAACAAGTGTATGATGCCTTTAGATGTTAATGCTTACATGCCAATTCAACAATAGTAAGTTGTGTGGTATCAAGACAATTTCATGGCAACACAGTATGTTCTAATAATTGTACACTGTCTTATTACTTAATCAAAAATGTGTACTTTACCATCATCAGCAAAGTGAATACTTTTAGGTCAAAGTATTTTAAGTGGGATGCAACCATACATTTAAACTAATGCCGTTTACACCTGATATTAAAATGCGTTTTGGTCGATCGGATCACAAGTAGACGAGGGAGACACATTCCCGTTTACACCTGGTGTTTTAATCCGCCTCTTGTCCACTTTCAACCACTTCTGTCCTGATGTCTTCGAGGGGAGGGTCTATGTGCGGTTAAATCTATGTGTTTTTCAGATCTTTCGATCTAATGAATGAAATAAGCTCACGCAATTTACATATGAACAGAAAAGGAGAAGCCGGAAAAACATACGGAGAGCATCAGCTTTAGGTTCTGCTCTGACAGACGCAAGATCACGCCGTACACTATGAGTGTGTGTTAGAAATCAGGAATACTGAGAGAACATTGTGCTTGGTACGTTTTTCCTCTTCAAACCAAACTTGAGTCTCCAGTTGACAAAGTTTAAATCCCGTCTGGATAGAGCTCTTCCCATAATGTTTACACATTAGGCCAGTAACGTTTCTTCTGTGGCTGTTTGAACACATTCGATCACATGAGCGTCACAGCAATCCGGTCGAATGTGTTTTCGACTGCCTCTGGAAGTGGACAAAAGTGGACAAGCTCAAAGCGTATTAAACCCCGTTTACACCTGTATTTAGTGTCGTCCACTTGTGATCCGATCAACCACAACGCATCTTAATACCAGCTGTAAATAGGGCCAAATGTGCAAAAATAATCTTGAATTCATCAACACACGACAATGCTGTAAAAAATATATTTAACGTAAAAATGTTTACATTTATTCAATGTGTTACTTGCCATCTCTTTTTAATTATTTGTGAAATTTACTAGCAATTTGAGTAAAAATTGTTTCTAAAACAAATAATTTTTCACGTCACCTCCACAAACGTGGATAATCATAGTGAAATAATGTGGAAGAATGATAGATAATATTATTGTGCAAGGTGGTTATTATTCCAGTTGCGATTCACTCTTAAAAATAAAGATTCCAAAAGGGGGTTTTCACAGCAATGCATTAGAAGAACCATTTTGAGTTCCACAAAGAACCTTCAGCGAACAGTCCTTAAAATAACTTTTTTCTTAGTGTGAAGAACATTTTACTAATCTATTCTAAATAATCTTTTTTCCACTGTAGAGCGTTCTGTGCTTTTAGTTCTATGGATGTTAAAGGTTCTTCATGGAACCATAGACGCCAATAAGGAACCTTTATTTTTAAGTGTGTATCTTATGACAAATGCAGTGTTGTTTCAGACATTAATATAACCAAGGTTACTGGAATGTTCGATCTAGAGTTTATGATCATTCCCCATTCCATTTCCAGCACGTACTGTTCCACTCGCGAGCCATTTCTGGAAGTTCTGTTTGCCAGGTTCAGGTCGCTCCAAGTCGTCACCACACTGGATCAGGATCCATTCCACAAGCCGGGTCTCCAACTCCACATTATACTTCTGGTCAATCTTCTCTTGGACCTCACGGCTAAGCCCGTAGCTTGGTCCCCTGTTTGCCATGGCAGCACACATTAACACTGACCTGCAGGGGTGATAATCTGAAACACACACACACACATATGTCAGAATAGACTAGATTTTATTTTCAAACACTATGCCTAGACTATGTAAAATAGATGAGAGCATTGGTTCCTGTCTACTCTGAGACTATAACCCTATTGACAAAGATTTTAGTCCGTGTTTAACTGACCAAATGGCCTAAATTGATCAATTTGATAACGCCATACAAAAAAAAAAGAAGATTTTTTTTAAATCTTCCATTGGTTTCCATGCAACACACGTCGAGTCACTCCGAAACATAAACGAGCAAAATCATCATATTATTTGCGCTGTTTTAAATCGACTACAATCTCAATTTGATCGTTATTATCATCCACAAACTGACCAAAACCCGAACTTGAGCCTGACGCACTCTAGTAAAAAATGAATGACAATAGGCAACTGCGCATCAGTTCTGACTGTGTAATGCAGTGTAATTATCCGACAATGCAGTGAGATATGATGCATCTACTCACTATGATGGAGGCTGTTTGTTGTTTTCCTCGCCCGTGTAATGTCCGTCTGTTGGCACCATGGATGAGCACTCGAAGGGCCAGTGAAGGGGGAGGGACTGGAACCAGCTCAGCATCCGTCAAACCACAGCATCACGCGTGCTCGCTGATGGAGAGAGGGTTGGCTAGGAGCTGGACAGTAGTGTTACGTAAAACTCACGGTTGCGCGCATCATTGGCTTGACATGTTGCAGTGTGTAAAACGCGTAAAGCAGCGAGCCAAAAAAGGCATTCGGAAGAATGGCTTGTGTGCATATTAAAGCATCAGTGTGCGTACATGAAAAGTAGGCCATGAAGAACACGGTCTCTATATGCTATGTATGTAGGCTATGCAGTCGGGCATGATGCAATAAGGGCACCGGGGCACGCGTGAAATGATGCCATCTTTACTTTACTGTAATAAAATCTCTGTTCAAATGCAGACATTTTTTACTCTTCTGAAATGCTGAACATTGGTAATATTTCTGAAATTTTCAGTGAATACAACAAAGGTGTAAAATGCACAATTTATTGTTAAACTGCAAATGCACTCTGTCTTTACATTCAACTGAATATATAAATATAAAGTTGGCAAATAATACATCATATGATAAACTCTTTTTTACATTAAAACATAGGTATGCTATTAGCCTATGTAAAAAGGGAAAGTATAGGCTGTTTTAGTTGCTGACATGGTCTCCATTTCTAGTTGTATTTTTTTTTAATTACATTTTTTTTATTTTGCAGTTACATATGTCAGTGCTCCAATAGAGTTAAGTAGGCTAAAATATTTCGTGTTGTCTGAAGAACTGCATAATTTAATAATTATAGCCTGCCAGAATTTTTGTTTAAAACAATTTTAAATGGAGTACAGCATGTCGCACCACATGTTAGCTTTACGGAAGGCTAAAAGTGCCACAATTCACTTAAAAATGAAGAAATCAACCAATTAAAAAAATAAATTAAATAAATACATGTTCAAATTGAAGGGGAAAAAAAACAGATTTATTTATTTACATTTTTATTTTTGAGAAAAATAATAATAAAATAATGAATTGCTAAATAATTTTTATTCAACTTTTTTGCATTAAAATTACTTTTTTAAAATGTGTTTTCCAATTACTTTTCTTTATCTCAAAAACACTTAATAATTAGTCTACTTAATAAACCAATAATTGATTTATTTTTATTTTATTTTAACCGTCTGGGCGTCTTCGTCCGAAAACGGACGAAAACTTTTAAGTTTTGAATTGTTTAATTTTTTTTGCTTCATCGGATGGGGGTGAAACTTGGTGACTTTTGTTGTATTACCTATATGAACACACACACAAAAATCAAGGAGATGATTCTGATATGTTAAAGGGTCGTAAAAAAATAGTCACACTTAGCTTCCTCCCGGTCAAAAATGACCGACATAGGAAATGAATGGGAAATACGAAAAATAGGAAAACTCAGAGAAACTTTTGGTGGTACAAGCTATAGATCAGCCACTGTGCAGAATGAAGGGGTGACACTCTAAAACATCAAGAGTGCAAATAAGACAAATAAGTTTGGGGGGGGGGGGCACACACACACACACACATACACAGATAAACTGGCAAGACTGCAACAGAAAATTTGTAGAATATGCAAAATAAAATCAATAAATGAAAAAAAAATCTCGCTCAAATGCACGCGCACACACACACAGAGAGAGAGAGAGAGAGAGAGAGAGAGAGAGAGAGAGAAGGCAAGACTGCAACAGCAAATTTATAGAATATGGAAAATAAAATCAATAAATGAAAAAAAAATCTCACTCAAATGCACACACACACACAGAGAGAGAGAGAGAAAAGGCAAGACTGCAACAGCAAATTTATAGAATATGCAAAATAAAATCAATAAATGAAAAAAAAATCTCACTCAAATGCACACACACACACACAGAGAGAGAGAGAGAGAGAGAGAGAGAGAGAGAGAGAGAGAGAGAGAGAGAGAGAGAGAGAGAGAGAGAGAGAGAGAGAGAGAGAGAGAGAGAGAGAGAGAGAGAAGGTAAGACTGCAACAGCAACTTTTGAGAATATGCAAAAATAAATAAATAAAAAATACCAATTTATTGCAAAATGTCTGTATAAAGTGTTTTGAATTATCACTAACCATCCCTTATTTTGTTCAATTATTTGAATGATCAAATACTGAGTAACAAAAATGTTTGCATTGTGTTCCCTTTCTAACCAAATGCTATAGTTTGATTGTAATCATAATGCAAAACCTGATACTTATCTAAAAAAAATGTGTTAAAAAAATAAAGAAGTAGTCTTTTAGAATATCTAAATGTATATCTAAATAAATTAAAAAAACGAATAAGATAGAGAAAGCATGTCTAAAACAACAATAGGAATCAAAAAGCCTTTCTATGTATTATTTATGTAGGAAGCTATGGGAGCCTACAGGCGGTTACAGGACATGACACACATTTATATATTTTTAAAGCCACTAGATGGCGCTCTTCTCACTTGATTTTTTTTTTTTGAAGGCCTAGACTCTATTTTTATGTAAAATGTTGCATTTATTGAAAAAAAAAAAGATTTTTTTTTATATATTCTAATGGAAAAAATAGCTCATAAAAATTATATAATTAATGCAAAGTATCATAAAAAAACTCTAAAATTCTAAATAATAATCAGAAAATATTATAGAACAAAAATATATTTGATTGGTTATCCTGGGAAAAAATAAAGTTAAATTTTAAGTAGGGCTGTCAAATGATTAATCACGATTAATCACATCCAAAATAAAAGGTTTTTTTACATAATATATGTGGGTGCACTGTGTATAATTATTTTGTATATATATAAATACACACACATGCATGTATATTTAAGAAAAAAGTATTAGTTATATATAAAATATTTATATTTATATATAATATAAATGATATATAAATCTATATACAGTATATACATGAAAATATTTCTTAAATATATACAAGCATGTGTGTGTATTTATATATATAAAATAATTATACACAGTGCACCCACATATATTATGTAAAAAAAAACTTTTATTTTGAATGTGATTAATCACGATTAATCATTTGACAGCCCTAATTTTAAGGCTTCGTCTGTTTTTGACCGGGAGGAAGCTAAGTGTAACCCATTTGCGAAGAAGCCCAGAGGGTTAAAGTGGCTCTCCTAGTCCTCCATTCTGCATACTGTATAAAAAGCCTTCCTGCAAACTAACTTATTGCAATCTCTGAGAGAACTCTATGCAAAAAATATTGGCTGCTGTCCTGCCCACATCCCTTAGATCAGCAACGCAGCCTCAGCACTCTCCATTGACTTAATCAGTCAATGGTTTTGTCCATATCAATCACTGTTGGCCCGAGTGTGCATCCAGCTGTGCTCTTACATCCCTCAGCATATCCATGTAGAGCCTATTGTTCTCACTATGGAGAGAAAAAAGGACTTTCATTTCTTTGTTGTTTTATTGCATTATACTCTTATTTTCACAGTCTTATCATTTAGAGAACTTGGGATACTCACTCAGCCAGAGAACGGTCAAATACCAGGTTTCCCATGTCCATATAGTATTGAGCATTTGCTCTCAAATCAGTCCAGTATTCATTTGCCTGCAATCCACATAGACACCATGTGTACTAATTACTTAATTTCATTAGAAACATTTTATTCAGTCTATTGCACCATACTTTAATTTGTTTTAATCACTTTCCTTATGTCATTGTAAATACAGGCTAACATTCTGACTGCTGATGTCTTAAAGGTGCAGTGAGCAATTTCTGCTGGACCGAGCAGCACAACACACTTGTAGCCAATCAGCAGTAGGAGGCGTGTCCAATCATGATGGGGGAGGAGAGAGAGAGTAAGACTGATAAAGAGACAAGGGTGCGTCTGAAATCACATACTCTCTAGAGTAGTTATTTTGAATAAGTAATGACTTCACGGCCGCTAAAAAAATGTATGTTTTTTAAAGATGCTCTAAGCGATGTCATGTGTTTTTTAGGCCAAAACATTTTTTGTCACATACAGCAAACATCTCCTCACTATCCGCTGGCTGCCTGTCCCCTGAACACACTGTAAAGAAACGCGATCTCTGTAGACAGCCCATGCTTCACAAACAGCACCAAAAACAAACTGCAGCGACCCGCTCCCCAAAACATAACAAACTGTTCCAGCCAATGACCGACAAGAAGGGTTTGGGGGTGTGGTTTGGGGGGTTAGTGTGCGGATGAGGAGGAGGGAGGGTCTAGCTAGCCTCCGTTTTGTTTGACAATAGTTCGAACGTCAACAAGAAGTGACGTCACCCAGGATCGCTTAGAGAACCTTTAAGTATGAATGTGTGTAGTATGAATGCAATCTGAACTTACTACATTCGCCATGTTGTCACTATAATGTCACTGCCATTCATAAATCCTCTCCCGTGGCCTCGTGGGATAGTAAAGTGTCCATCGTATCCACACTTCAGAATCTCGCCGGAAGTACTAGGTCATCCACTTTTTTCCCTACTCTTATGAGTACTGTGACACATACTGTTTTTCGCCTACTATATAGTAGGGAACTATGTGATTTCGGACGCAGACGTCCACTCTTGCATTGCATGTTAATGCAGTTTGGAGGCGCAGCAATGAAGGGAGGGGTGTGTTTGTTTGGGTTGATTTCAAAAATCAACAGTGTTTCTCAGAAATCGTTCACTTCGCCTTATTTAAATATTATTTCACTAAACAAATCAAATCTGAGGCTGTGGACCGATCGCTATGGTGTTCACCTGCTCTTGTATGGTGTAACCCCATTGGTTGTGAGAATAGTTGGGGTTCCAGTACCCAGACTGTCTCTTTACACGTAAAAATTTCGTGGCCTGCTCCCCCTTCACAAATGGAGCGGTGAACACACCTATGTGAAAACTCCATTATTCATTTGTTGACTTTACGATTCAAATACAGTTCCTGTTTACATGCACACAATTCATGAATAGCTCTTTGCTATACACATGCAGGCAAAATTAAAGTGCATTGATTAACTCACCACTCATCAGAATCTCTATATGCTTCATGCTTTTCATCTGTGCACAAGCAGGGAAAATGTCTCTGTGCTCTCTAAATAAAATATAAATATAAAATCTAATAAATATATCTACTCTGAAGAAAAAACATGAGCCTAATTTGGTAACTATTTACAATAAAGTTAATTTAGTTAACATTAGATAATGCATTTGTTACAGTATTTACTATTTATTACCATTTGTTAATAAATGTAACTGTTCATTGTTGGTTCATATTAGCCCAGAAACATTAAATAATATTAACATATGCAACTTTTTGATTTTTAATAATGTATTAGTAAATGTTGAAATTAACATTAACTAAGATTTATAAATGTTTTTGAAGTATTTTTCATTGTTAGATCATTTTACCTAATATACAGTAGTGGCCAAAAGTGATGTCTGGCCTATAGGAAAATTGACATCTTCACTCTTTATTCAAATATTATTAAAAAAGCATATTCGTAGTTGTGCTTTGAGTCAGTTTTATTTGTCATAATAATGCAATGAAACATGCCAGATTGTGCGGACATAATTCTTGGCCACAACGGCAAGGAGTCATACAATGATGAGAGAGCCAAAGAAATATTAATAACTGATTATGTAGTGTGTCTATGCTTTTTCCTGTGAGCTTTTTGCTTTTCTATGCATATTTTTTGTATAGTAAAATTAAACCTGTAGCTGCAGTTTGCCTTTTTTTTTTTTTTTTGGCCAAATAATTTTGTCCATTTAATAACTTAACCAAGTTTAGTGTTTTGTTCTGTTTTTTTTTTTTAATGGAATATTTTCCTTTTGGTAATCACACTTGTAGGGTCACTTAAAAAAAGAAATATCACCTCCGGAGATCATCTTGACCAGTAGTTAACTAATGTTAACAAATTAAACCTTATTGTAAAGTGTTACCCCTAATTTTGTCTAAAATATTAAATTAGCTCAACACTATACTCTATTAGCTGTATACTAATAAAGTGCTTTCCAACAAAGTAATTATCAAATGTAAAGTAAACATCAAACAAAAACAAAAGTCTGGCAAGAACATAAGCAACTTTTGCCTCAACTAATATTACTAGTCGCACCTTAATGCAAAAAAAACAAACAAAAAACTGGTGGCTTTCTACGGAAGCGTATTGCATTCACTTGAGGAAAAAAATATCTACTCTGTTTTTCTGAATTAACGAGTTACTTATCTCAGAATTATGAGATATTTTTTCATGAAAAAAAGGTTTTGCTCTGTTTTTCTGAATTAACGAGGTAATATCTCAGAATTATGAGTTTATTCATTTTTATTAATTCAGAATTAATTCAGAAAAACAGAGCACAAACTTTTTGTTTCCATGAAAAATTATCTCGTAATTCTAAGATAATTAACTCGTTAATTCAGAAAAACAGAGTAGATTTTTTTTCCTCAAGTGAATGCAATACACTTCCGTAGCTTTTAGCTGCATGCTAAATAAATGAAAACGTCACAAAATGTCCTGTGCAGCGTTTCTCAAAAGCATCGTTAAGTCGATTGTAGCCTACCGGTGGCACCAAGCTCACGATGCTTCTGAGAAACACAGCCTATGTTACAGTATGTGCCTCACAGACTGTATTAAGGCAACTGAAAATGACCTATGATATCACTTTTTACACAAGGTTTGCTGAAACTGTAGTTGAGTATTGCTGTGAGTTTTACCTGTACAGAAGCGTCTCCAGAGCGCGGATCACGAGAGACCGCTGCTAGAATTTGGAGCCGTGGTGTGAAAGGGAATAGGAGACTCTTTCAGATCTGAATACACAACTCTGTGGGAACCATGACCAATGAAATAACTATTGACCTAGAACGGCAATAACATTCACATACTGTAAGCAAATATATCAGCTTAACACAAATACAAATATACACTCACCTAAAGGATTATTAGGAACACCATACTAATACTGTGTTTGACCCCCTTTCGCCTTCAGAACTGCCTTAATTCTATGTGGCATTGATTCAACAAGGTGCTGACAGCATTCTTTAGAAATGTTGGCCCATATTGATAGGATAGCATCTTGCAGTTGATGGAGATTTGTGGGATGCACATCCAGGGCACGAAGCTCCCGTTCCACCACATCCCAAAGATGCTCTATTGGGTTGAGATCTGGTGACTGTGGGGGCCATTTTAGTACAGTGAACTCATTGTCATGTTCAAGAAACCAATCTGAAATGATTCGAGCTTTGTGACATGGTGCATTATCCTGCTGGTAGTAGCCATCAGAGGATCGGTACATGGTGGCCATAATTGGATGGACATGGTCAGAAACAATGCTCAGGTAGGCCAAGGCATTTAAACGATGCCCAACTGGCACTAAGGGGCGTAAAGTGTGCCAAGAAAACATCCCCCACACCATTACACCACCACCACCAGCCTGCACAGTGGTTACAAGGCATGATGGATCCATGTTCTCATTCTGTTTACGCCAAATTCTGACTCTACCATCTGAATGTCTCAACAGAAATCGAGACTCATCAGACCAGGCAACATTTTTCCAGTCTTCAACTGCCCAATTTTGGTGAGCTCTTGCAAATTGTAGCCTCTTTTTCCTATTTGTAGTGGAGATGAGTGGTACCCGGTGGGGTCTTCTGCTGTTGTAGCCCATCCGCCTCAAGGTTGTGCGTGTTGTGGCTTCACAAATGCTTTGCTGCATACCTCGGTTGTAACGAGTGGTTATTTCAGTCAAAGTTGCTCTTCTATCAGCTTGAATCAGTCGGCCCATTCTCCTCTGACCTCTAGCATCAACAAGGCATTTTGGCCCACAGGACTGCCGCATACTGGATGTTTTTCCCTTTTCACACCATTCTTTGTAAACCCTAGAAATGTTTGTGCGTGAAAATCCCAGTAACTGAGCAGATTGTGAAATACTCAGACCGGCCCGTCTGGCACCAACAACCATGCCACGCTCAAAATTGCTTAAATCACCTTTCTTTCCCATTCTGACATTCAGTTTGGAGTTCAGGAGATTGTCTTGACCAGGACCACACCCCTAAATGCATTGAAGCAACTGCCATGTGATTGGTTGATTAGATAATTGCATTAATGACAAATTGAACGGGTATACCTAATAATCCTTTAGGTGAGTGTACATACTAAAAAGTTTGGAATAATTAAGATTTCTAAAATGTTTTTGAATGAAGTTTCTTGTGTTTCCCAATGCTGCATTTATTTGAAAAATACAATATTGTGCAACATTTTAAATAACTATTTTCAGTTTGAATAGGCCTACGTGTAGGCTCATTTATTCCTGTGATGGAAAACCTGTATTTTCAGCATCATTACTCCAGTCTTCAGTGTCACATGATCCTTCAGAAATCATTCTAATATGATGATTTTCTGCTCAAATTTGACCGTTTATTAGCACTGAGATATCAATAATGGTTCTTATATTGATCAATATTGATCATTATTTGCTGCTTAATATTTCTGTGAAAAATGTATTAATGCTTGTATTTACCATGCTTGTAATGAGGTGTGTACTTCATCCAGGTCCACAGTCATCAACACCATTTTCAACCTACAACAAAAAGAAACGCAAGCTTTTCACCAGCATTCATTCAAACTGTTTATATGCCATTTACTCATCTGAATTGTGCCATTCTCCCATCTGTTCAACTGTTTGGATTGGTTATATCCATCTTTGAGTCTGGTTTATACTGACACATTATTACACAGAAAATTTTAGGTTTTAAATGAAAAATGTGGTAGCCTACCATTTGTCTGCAAATGGACAGCCATCGGCACTGATCCTCAACAAACCCGTCTCCATACCGGCGTGACTCTGATCTTCAACCAGACTGAACTGGATAATATTCTGATTGTTCCAAACCAATCTGGCTTCTGACCTGTAATGCTGCCTGAATCATAATCATACACTGTTCGTTCATTGGCCAGAGGAGAGCTGGCCCACGACTGAGCCTGGGTTCTCCCAAGGTTTTTTCTCCATTCTGCGACATGATGTAGTTTTGGTGCCGTGCCACTGTCGCCCTTTTTCAGATTTGTTGCCATTGGCTTGGCTTGCTTAGTTAGGGACATTAAATTTAACATTTAATTTAATATTCAACAATAATATTGATCTGCCTGCATTGACACTATTATACAAGAACTGAACTGAGCTGGACAATGACATCAAGGTCTACTCCTGAGCGGCTGTATATATAAATGAACTAAATTAATAACTTTTTTAAAACAAAAATGAAACATCACTGAACTTACTTAAGCTGGACTGTGACGCCATTTTCTTCTGGAAACAAACTCGTTTGCATTATTTTCCTGTTATCTCTGTAAAGCTGCTTTGAAACAATCTGTATTATAAATAAATGTGACTATTCTATCCCCTAAACCTACCCGTCACAGAAAACTTTCAGCATTTTTACATTTCCAAAAAAACATCACTTTAAAATAAATAAATTAAGCTGTTTTCCTCATGGGGACCAAAAAATGTCCCCACAAGGATTTTGGATATTGCCAAATTTGTGGGGACATAAAGGGGAAAATAATGTAGGGGTTTACCTGACACACACACACACACTAATAATATTTGCTAGAGCCCATTTAACCCTCCCCTTAAACCTAAGCCTGACAAAAAACTCAACGATAAACATAATTTGGTCAAGTCTCTGAAATAGTGAATACAGCTCACAATTAAAATAGAGTAAAACTTTTTGACTAGGATATATCACATCAAAACAAGCACACAGACAAGAAACAGAAATGACACAGAAAACCTGCAGTTTCTCACTGTCCAGTTTAATAACGAAAACACCTATTTTTATACATGGCATAGATTTATACATATTTGAAAACATGACATACATGTTGCATTTTAAACTTTATAACATTTTTAAATGTTTAATATGAGCTAACAGAAATTTGTCTTGGAATGTCTACATATATATAATAAATGAGATAAATAATAAAACAATAAAGCATAAAGCTGACAAACAGAAGAGAAGGGTGCCAATACTTGTGGTAATCAACCTGTGGCGATATTAGTGCACCAAAAAATGAAAAGGAAAAAGGAAGACAACAAAACTTTTGTCACTAGAAGAATCACCATCACACCATCAATGGATACACTAACAAACACATATAATACCACAGTTGGCGGTAATAAAAAAAAAACCTCAAAAAGAGATAAAAAATATATAGTATTTTTGAGTGTATATTTTAAACGAGAACAATTTGAAGAGAAACGAGGCTCTTGAAAGATGCTATTGTTCTGTGTCTGCATCACTGCACTAGTGCATGAAGAAAAAACAGGTGGTGAAACAGACAAAGAGCTCAAAGAGAAAAAAATCAGCAAAACCCTCCTAGCGTTTACACTCCTATTCCAAATAAATGGCTTTATACGGTGTTGTTCACCATTCTAGTCTGATCGTGTAGTCTGTAGCACAACAAAAAAAGTGTTCTCCTTCTATATTTTTCATTGTCTGCGCACAAAATACAGACCTCAAAGTGATTCAAAATGCCTAAATATTCTGTCCCATTAACTGAAAACCTTGTTATATTAAAAGCAAGTACGAGCCATTCCTTTCCGTTTTGCATTTAAATATTACAATGTTCTTCAGAAGTGTGTCCTACTGGGAGTGATAAAAAAAAGACATGCACTCTTAATATGCAAGGCACAGACACTGTGAGCTACTGTCCAACCGAATGAAGTGAAAGACCATGTTATGCTACTTGCAATACTTAGTTCGAAAACAAAATAACAGTTGAAAAATAGGCCCAACAGTTTACACCATTACAAAAATGATCACATTAAAATGGGAAACAATACTAAAAATCAAGGCAAGACAAATGTGGAGTTCTTTTTACTTTGTCTACAAAGGTTTAGCATTTTGTGTTGTGATGAAACTGAAGTAATGCTAACACTTTACAATAAGGTTTCATCAGTTAACAAACATGAACTAACAATGAACAATACTTCTACAGCATATATTAATGTTTTATTAATATACTTTTATAAGAAAACTACATTTACTAATGTAATAGATCAAAAGTTGTATCTGTTTACATTAGTGAATGCACTGTGAACTAGCATGTTTATAAATGCTGTAAAAAATATATCGCTCCTTGTTAGTTTAATGTTAGTTAATGCATTGTTAACAAATGAGACCTTATTGTAAAGTGTTACAGAAGTGATTACTTACCCTTAAATCTCATTAGTGCTTGTGCATATTCAAACTTGGAACGTTGCATTTGGTTATACGGTTTTATCAAATTTGCTTCTTGTGAGCTATAGGAACAGGCAAGATTTTTAGTGAATAATGATTTAAATGTTGGCCTTTACCTTACACAAAGCTATTGTATGGCTTCAGGAGACTGTAGAAGGAATAGAGCGCACGAGTCAAGTAGACTTTTCGGAGTATGGCAGCACCTGGTCGCTTTATACTGCTCTATGATGGAACAAATAAAGTCCTATTGCTCTGAAAAGAAATGAGAATTTGCACTTTTGGTTGACATCCCTTTCAATTACTTTGTTTTCCGTCACTACCTCGATTTTCCAGAAACCTGACACCCGTGTACACGGCTTTTCCCATCCCAACTGGTCCGTCCTTCACGTCGTCCTCACACCCATTCTTCACCCTAATGTGGTTAATTTGTCGATAAGGTCATCAATAGTGTACACCATGAGCTTAATATCATCTTTCTCTGACATGCGATGAAGCCCATGCTTGCGAAAAATGACATCCACGTCATTGCTGAGTACCCGCTCCGCGACCTGCATGGAGACGTGCCAGGGTACGTCAGAGTCCTTGAGGCCGTGGATCAGTCGGACGGGGCAGGACACGGGGATGGGGCTCTGGAGTATGCAGTGGTTCTCGGCCTCCTTCAGAAAGTCCATGCTTAGAGTGTAGAAACCCTCTTCATTGTGCTTGGTAGGGAATTTCCAAAAGCCCTGTTCCTCTATCTCCTTCTTTGTCTATTGAAAAAGGGGAAGATATGGATCAGGAGGCAAAGGAGGCAGTGCCTGCTCAAAAAAAAACTTGAGAAAAAAAAATCATATTTTTAAATTGGTCGTTTTCTAGTTTCTTATTTCATTTAAAATTGAAAAACAAAACATGTATAAAGATGAAAATAAACAATATTTACAAAAAAAAATAAAAAATTACAATGAATATTTAAACCTCTGATACAAATGATTTTTGTTGTGTTACATCCTTAATAGTATAAAAGGAGATATTAACAGAAAAAGCGTAAAACTCATTTACTTGCCGAGTGTTGCGTAAGTATAAGCAATAGAGTGGCGCAGGGATGACGTATTTTAGCATTTTAGCACTTACATTTCCACCGTCCTGAAATTAACGTTTTTTTTAATGGGTTTTTGGTTAAAAGTCCAAAATAAGGTCTGTAGTGAGCAGAATATTCACTACATTATTCTACGACATAAAATACAACACAAACTTTGTCGCTAAATTATCAACTTTAGCGACTTTTCTTCAAAATACTAGCGACTAGCAACAAATCTAGTGAATTTTTGGACTGTTGGTTAACATGTAGTCAGTCAGTATTATCATACATGTTCAGTTGTGTGGCAGAATATATCTAAATGAGAACAACTTTATTGGACATTCGGTTATACATTACATTAAAATACAGTATGTGAGCACGGATTACCAGAAAAAAAAAAGAAAAAAAGTGTAAAGTAAGGGAAAATGTTTTTAAATAAAAACCGATTAAGGTATAATTCGTTTATAGCCTATGTTTAGCTTTTTACTTCTATCAATTTAGGCTTCACAATTCATAAAAGTTGTTCATTTGTGAAAATGATCATGGTGAACAAAGAATATGTGTAAGAAGCATAGCTTATTTTCTGCAATAATCCAAAAGCCAATGGAAAATCGTATTGTTTTTTTTGTCAAGGGAACCAGGGTGACGCTAACTTCCCGGTTGGTCTACAAAAAAAACCATCATCACTGCAGTGCTCTATAGTAATAGTGATGCTATTACATAATTTGTGAACCTTGTAACAAATAACTTGTATTATTATCATTTATCAATATTTTCTGATGTTTCAAAGAACTCTTTCGTACCTCTATTGGTAGGGCGTTGAAGGCGATGACAAAATGATCTGCAGCGGCTGAGATGCCCACTAAAGCAGCCGTCTTCTCTGGCCGTGCAAGAGCGGCTAGCAACATCAGCCACCCACCCATGCTGGAGCCGACCAGGATCTTGAGCAGGTGACACGACAGAGAAATTGACCATTTGTGTGCGAGTTTGAGTAAAAAGGGAGAAAAAGAAGAAAAAATACGTCAAGTTCCAAACAATTGTCAGCAGTGTTGGGGAATAGCTAACTGCAAGCTAACTACGACGCTACTAACTTAAAGGGATAGTTCACTTTGAAATAAATTTTTGGTATGTTTTAGCTTACCTCAAGGGCATCCAAGATGTAGGTGTCTTTGTTTCCGCAGTAGTTTCAATTTTGATATTTTTAGGTCAAACCGTTCTTGTCTGTCAGTCATATAATGCAGGTCTATGGTCACCACCTCAAAGAGCATGCACAGAGAAGTCCAAATTAAACATGATTTAATGACTCGTAAATGTAAGTACACATTGATGGCCTAAGACACGAAACGAGCGGTTTGTGTGAGAAAACGAACAGTATTTATATTGTTTTTACCTCTTGTAAACACAGCCACGTCCAAGTGATCTGAGGGCGCCGGCGCTTCGGTCTGCGCAAGCGCCGGAAGTGATCACTCGCGCGCGTACTCATTGTTTACACAGATATTCCGGAAATAAACATATTTAGATATACAGGAAATCGCAACGGAAGACGATTTAGATATATCAACAGACAACGTTGATTTTTTTTTTTTTTTTTTTTTTAAGAGATCACTTCCGGCGCTTGCGCAGACCGAAGCGCCGGCGCCCTCAGATCACTTGGACGTGGCTGTGTTTACAAGAGGAAAAAACAATATAAATACTGTTCGTTTTGTGTCTTAGGCCATCAATGTGTACTTACATCTACGAGTCATTAAATCATGTTTAATTTGGACTTCTCTGTGCATGCTCTTTGAGGTGGTGACCATAGACCTGCATTATATGACTGACAGACAAGAACGGTTTGACCTAAAAATATCAAAATTGAAACTTCTGCGGAAACAAAGACACCTACATCTTGGATACCCTTGAGGTAAGCTAAAGCATATCAAAAATTTATTTCAAAGTGAACTATCCCTCTAACTACTTTTTCAGTAGCTTTTCCAGTAGCTCAGTTGCTTTTACAACAGTGCAGCTTTTCCAGTAGCTAACTCCCTTTTCCAGCAAGTAGAAGTGTAGCGCGACCAAAAGCTACGTTTCGCGTTTTTGGACGAGCCTGCAATGTATTGATTGAAGCGTCGTCCTCTTATTAGATCACAAAAATTGCGCATTACCGCCATCTATCGCTTTATCAAGCATCTTGCGGCTTTACAGTTCACTACAGAGAATCATATTCTCATGATTATGTAAAGGCCGTACAGTACAGTTTTCACATGAATCGACTAGTAAAGGTTATACTATTGTAATTTATGCAAGCCAAAGATTAAAATGCAGTCTGCGTCGAAGACTTCAAGCTCATACAAGTGAATAATAGCCTTTTAAAAATGTATTAGCTGTCCTGCTTTATTGCACTCTATATCAAATGTCTATTTCTGATTTTATGATGACCCATCATAGTTTACTCTGTCCCGCCACGGTTTTGTAAAGAACTTAAAGATCACCAAAGTTGTGTTTTGCGCCATTACTTTGGCAAAGCATCTGTCAATCGAAAACTATTATTCAGTTATTTGTAATATACGTCTTTGTAAAAAAAAATCTAAGTTGTTTCAATGTAGCTAGCTAGTTTTTGATAGTAACCTGTACTGTGGCTAACTACTTCTTCTGAAGGGTAGCTTGCCTGTAGTTTAACTACTTTAACTCGTGTAGCTTGTCAAACTACAGTTTCAGAGTAGCTTCCCCAACACTGCTTGTCAGAACCTTTTAATAGGGAAAAACAATGTGAACATGGGATACTGATGACAGAAAAAGTTTGTAATAGGGCTGATTTCACTTTGGTTATGTGCATAATTTGATTCATTGGTATTCAAGTAACTGAAGGCATATTTGTCAATAAATGATTCCTGGTCAAATTCAATTCATCAAGACTCTCCAATGTGGTAATGCTGTTAATCCACTCACCTGTGGCCCTTCTACTAATTCATCCAGTACATAGAGTACGTCTTTCTTCCAGGCACCCATGTTGTAGTTACCCATTTCCCCTTCAGATGACCCGCAGCCAGAATAGTCAAACCTAAAGGAAGAATGTTTATCACAATAGCATAGCATTAGAGTTAAAATGTCAAGGTGGATAGAGATTAAACACTGCACACTAATAATAGTGACATTAACTGTTTTGCTCACTGGCCACTGTGACTAGTAGTTTTCCAAAGTTACTAACCACTCAGCATTTTCTCTGGCCACAATTTTGACATCGATACCATGGGGAAAAACTGCCATATAGATATTTTTAATTCTATTATCATAATTTGGCAGCCGGTATATTAGGCTGCTGTCACTTTAAGACCTCACGCACGGCTCCATTATACATGCGTTTTCTTTCTCAACTGTTTACGTTCACTTAAAACAAAACTAACTGTGTTTACGTGAATACTCGTCAAGACCGACATTGTACCGGTATTTGACTGTTTAAGTATATCTTTAAGTATTTTTGACTTTGGGTATGAGCACGAAATCTCCAGGATTGAGTAAAATGATGTGCAATACCCACAATCTCACAATGAAATTCAAGCCCTGTAACACAAACAATATTCATCCGGAGCAAATGAAACGGGTGAGTGAGGGGAGGAGAGTTTGTGTGTTTTTTGTTTAATTGTTTAGTTAGTTAAAAAGTTAGTTAGTTCAGTTTTAAACTATTTATTTTTGTATTTTTATTGTTAATTTAATATCAATTACTCTAGTTAATTTTACCTAAATTTCGACATTAAAATTTTTATCTCGCAGAAAAGTTCAGACACAAAGATCCAATCGTGAAAAACAGTAATGCTATCTATCATGATGTACTAGTACCAACCCAAACCAAAACGCATCTTAATAACAGGTGTAAACTGGATCTAAAGACTGAAAAGTTTTTATGGGTTTTAGCCATTCATTTATACAACAGGTGCGGTTTTGGGGGGCTGAAAATGCAAATTTTTGAAAACGATACAGTTATCGTCTCCGTGTAAACTACAAAAACGCAAATTTGTAAAAATGGTGACGTCATGCGCATGTGTTCAGTCTATAGGCCTTGATCATAGACAGTATAAGAAGTGGACAGAGCCATCTCATTGGAACTCAGTTGAGACAGTTGAAGCCCATTTTTAGCGATTTTTGAGCACTTCCGTTCCTGACGCGCAGACTCAAACCGACTCAAACTAAGCTTGATGACGTAAGCAACCTGTCTGACAGACGTAAATCTTCTAGTAGCTGTGCGTGAAAATTGCCAACGTTAATCTTGCAGAGACGGGGAACTTGAGCAAAGAGTTCTTTGGCGTGAGTGAGCAGGAGTAAGTATTCCGTTGCTTTTATGGACTCATTATCTATGGGCTTCTCCCTTGACGGGACGTCCCCCCGATTGCCTGCGAGCTTCTCCTCCTGTCTGTACGGTAATTTCTGTACAGCGCGACAGAGTCGAGTGGTTATTATGACGCAATCGTTAGCCTATTTTTTACAAAAACTGTTTCTACGGGGCCATAATGTAACATAGAAGGTAATGGAGCCCTTTATACATTGTTGTGTTTCTTTAGAAATAAATAATGGACAAATGGAGTCTTTAAACGCCTCAGATGTAAAGTTATTCGCTGTCAAAGTGACGCCAAAATGAATGGGAGTCAATGGAAATGCTAACGCAAGTGAAGTTCTGCTACAAGATGGCGGCACCCGGCCGGCTTCAACTTCCGGTCAATGGATTACCCCCTTGGCCTTGATGCATATAATGTTTCTTTGCAAAGTGACATCGCCAACTACTGGCCTGGCAGCAGAATACATCGTTTTTAGTCGTTTTCGTGGATCCATGTAATTTTTTCACCCAGATTTTTTAAAAACGTATCTTTTTTTTTTTTTTTTTTTACTTGATATAATTGTACTAAATAGTGAGGCACCTGAGGTATGAGTGACCCAACGACTTGCAGAACTCCTCTAATGCTTCTGCTTTCTGTCCACCCATGTTTGAGGCAAAACCAGGCAAGAAAACCACTCCAGGACTCTTCCCTTTCAGTTTCCTGTAGGCCAGCTTCGGCAGATCAGGTCGTGTAGCATACTGAATTGTGCTCTTGTGTCGAACACCTAAAACAAAGCAAAAATGCTATTTTATTTAAATGCAATTTAAAGCCTGAGAGCTAAGCATACCTAATATAAGATATTACAAAACACAATTCATTTTCTTCCTTGCAAACTTTCTCTCTTTATTACTAAAGCAACAACAAAACGATTTAACTTGATAACTGTAGCTGGTGGCGCTTAGATAGGAGACCAAACACGAATGATTTCTCCTCCGGTGTGTCAGCTGCCATCTCAACCGCAGGTTTGCATGTTATCTCCATTTTAGCAGAGTTCAAGCTTCAATTACGAAATCGAAACCGGTGAGTTACATCAAGACATCACTGTTCTCGACTGTGCATTACGGAACATGCTGGCCACACCTCCAACATTCACGCCCCCTGGCCGCAACATATCGAAGTTCTTGCATAATTACGTTTCGTAAGGACTCTGCTTACCCGTAGAAACGTGCGGGAGAATGGTGAATTTCCGGACGTTTATTTTAAGAACATTTGAGCAATTTCTGAGCACAGTTGACGCCATACTACCCCGCTCTCTGCGGAGACACAAGAATCCAGTCTGACTCTGAACAGTGTCCTGAAGGAGACGGAGACCCGAGCGCACATCACTGCCGCCTGCTGTCGTGGAGCACCAGTGACACACACACACACACCCTGCGTCTCAGTGTCAACAGTCCTTAACAGTATGTGAGATAAAATAAGTATGTCCCAGAGCTTGTCTACTCTTCTGCTACACACTCAAAAGTATGCACTTTTTCGTCACAAAAAGAGTACATACTTTTAGGGCGTAGTAAGTAGGCGAATTGAGACAGCAACAGTTACAAAAAAGCTATTATGTTAAAGGGATAGTTCACCCCAAAATGAACATTCTGTCATCATTTACTCACCCTGAAGTTGTTCCAAACTTGTAAGAATGTCTTTGTTCTGCTGAACACAGGAGAACATATCCTGTGTTATCCTGAACATATCCTATATATATCGATATATATATATATATATATATATATATATATATATATATATATATATATATATATATATATATATATATATATCGAAGAATGTCAGTAACCAAATAATGGGTCCCATTGACTTCCATCGTATTTTTTTTCTCCATACTATGGAAGTTAATGGGGCCCATTATTTTTTTGGTGACCCATATTCTTCATAATATCTTCTTCTGTGTTCTGCAGAAGAACGAAATTCATACAGGGTTGGAACAACTTGAGGATGAGTAAATGATGACAGAATTTTCATTTTTTGATGAACTATCCCTTTTTAAGACAGTGTCTAGGATTTATGACCCATTAGCAGTTAGTCAAAGGGTAGTCAAGCTTACTTTTTGGTATCAAATTAGACCAATCTACGTAGCCTATATGTTATTGACTCAACAAAGCTATGATTGATGACTATCTATAGATAGATAGATAGATAGATAGATAGATAGATAGATAGATAGATAGATAGATAGATAGATAGATAGATAGATAGATAGATAGATAGATAGATAGATAGATAGATAGATAGATAGATAGATAGATAGATAGATAGATAGATAGATAGATAGATAGACAGATAGATAGATAGATAGATAGATAGATAGATAGATGGATAGATAGACAGACAGATAGATAGATAGATAGATAGATAGATAGATAGATAGATAGATAGATAGATAGATAGATAGATAGATAGATAGATAGATAGATAGATAGATAGATAGATAGATAGATAGATAGATAGATAGATAGATAGATAGATAGATTTAGTCTATAGAATGTAATTTGTGTATTCTCCATCAGGTGTCGCTGTAACTCCACTGTAAACCAAACGCTCACCTCAGCCTGCAGCAGAGAGACTGGCCACTGGAGAGAGAATGACAGCAGACGGACTAAGTTCAGGGAATGAATTCACCTTATTTTCCTATTAGAAATAAAGTTTTTGGCAGATACATTTAGGCTATAAATATAAGTATAAATGGGGCTCAAAACTAGCTTTACCTTCCACTGATGTTAGAAGTTAGTCATTCTCTCTGAAGTAACTTTAAATGTATGTCTATATAGAAACACTTAATTTATATTTCTGCATGCAAGTAAAGTTGGTTTAAAATTATTTTAGACCCTTTTATGAATGGACAGCAGGAGAGAAAGACAGACTTTTTTTGTCACGGTATAATCATATTTTCCGCCAAGGTTACAGTTATTCGAAAGTAGCCTACAATAAAACTGTGGAAACTTCCTGTCAAAAAATAGCCCAGATAAGATAAAATGACGCAGGCTATAGCCTAGGTGACAATGGGTTAGTCTGAAGAATAGCCTATGCCATATTAATGTAGGTTTTTTAATAGAGAGGGAGTCGTAATCGAGAGAGAGACTCTTCTGAAGTGGCTAACCGTGGCGCTCTGCAATTCTAAATATACATTTTGTCATTAAAAATGTGGTTGCTAGGATTTAGTGGATGATATCTAACTATAGGTCGGCTCTCAAAAGCTCTTGAAAGTGACACGAGCAACATTAATTGTGTTCCCATATGCCTCGCTAATACACTGTGCCCACCCTCAGAAGTGTTTGTGAGATGATTTGTTTAACTAAATGACAGAATCCGCTTCAAACTGAAATGATGCAGCTTAAAAAAAAAGGAAGAAAAAAAAGATACAGCTTCAACCCCCTCCTCCTCTTCGCTTTTGCGCGTGCACGCCCCCTCATTTCCAGAACGATTCCTTGTTATGACATCCCGGTAAAAGACAGCCACAGAGGTCTCTCACCTCGACGCTAAATTCAATCTAATGAATGCAGACCCCAGCGCTCTCGTCGCTGAAAAGAGGCCAACAATTTAGCAATTTCTGCTGCTTGTGACAGGGCTCATGACTAATTCCCATATTTAAATGTGAACAGGCAAAGCTGGCCCATTTGACGGCAGCCAAGCGCATTTTATCAGGTCAGAAAGACATCAATGGCACCGGGGGTAGGAGGTGGCTGGAACTGTTTAACTGTGCAAAATTCAATCAAAAAGAGAATTTAGAAGGCTGTGAAAGTTTGGAAGGCGCCGCTGAAAACACACAGGCGGTTACGCGAGTGTTTTTTCCTTAGCATTAATGTGTGTCTTGTCTCTTTATATCAGTTTACAAGAGTTAACACTTGAAAGCGCAGTTCTAAGTCAGCCCTGTTCATTATTTCTCGACCTCTTGACATCGCAGGTGCAGATTCTCTCTCTCCCTCGCACTGGAGTGATTCAGTTCTGCATGAACAACATCAAACTGCGTGATACTGAGTAAAAGGCTCACTGAAAAACATTGAATTAATTGTAATACCATGGCATATTGTGCTGGGAATGTCTTATTAGATGTTTAGTTTCTGCATGCGCAAACTTGGATAAAAGAATGATAAACTGCTGGTAAACAAAGATGCTCTTGCAAAGTCAGATTTAATATGTGTCCTAATCAATTTTATAATAAAAATGATGTACAGCCACCATCAAGATATCACTCTCTGGCTTCATAATTTATGCCTATTTGTTCTCAATCGCTTATTTTAGAGAGATAATTTTCATAGTGCAAAAGTAAAACCACTGCGAGTTTCCACGGAGAAAAAAAGAAAGGCTGTTTTTATTGCTGAAAATTGACTATTATTCAATTTTACACTGCTGAGTATATGGAAAAAGACAGTATATATGGAAAAAGACAGTATATATGGATAAAAACCCCTCGAAATGTTTCTAACTGTTTATCTGTAAACAAAACGCATCCAGAAACCGCCAGATTTCCAGTAGGAAAGGGTCTCGTATTAACATCTTTAAAGCATTTCACACCTAAATAACTGATGTTAAATTCACATTACGAGTTCTGTTTCAATTCTTCACTTCATAGGATTTCGAGTCTCGTACAAAAACAAAAAAAATCTAGGCTATATATATATTTTTACTAAGATAAAGGAAGTTGCTACAGCCACTTGGGGATTCTACTCATTAAATTTACATTTATTAACGTTAACATAGTAGGCTATATATACTTTTTATTATTATTATTATATTTAACTTCACCTAGCTGCTTTAAGAATCTGAGAAAATATCCAGTTTAAACCTCGTTTAAAGTTTGTAGACGCGCTGCGAGCCACGCGATTCCCAAGAAGCTCTCATTGAGAGGCCACGTGTCCGTTTCCAAAGCCTCTCCAACTTAACCACCTCCATTGTACGTCTAACCCAGATCGGCAGCGTCCCTCCACATAAAGGGATTTGCAATTTCAAGATATTCCAGCTTAAATGTTTTTGACAGTTCCCTCGCTTTTGCCTCAGCCTGCTTATTTTAACTGTGCCAAATGGGTCACCTTGGGTAGCTGTCTGCGCGCAAAGGGCTTTTGCGCGCATTCAGTCCGAATTTTTTCCAACTTTCCTTGACAGGGAAACCAGCTGCTGGTCGTGAAAAGACGGCTTATTAATTGTCCTTTGTCATGCAGAATTGCTTGATTTCTAAAGAAACATACAAAGGCTCTTTTTCAGGATTCAAGTATTTTGTTTCGTGCGCATTTTCAACTCATCGAATCAGCTGCAGCGCCTCACCGTCTACCAGACTCAGGTACTGACGGCCTGCCTCTTTTGTCCGCTTTTAATGCTCTTGTAAATCGGGCAGACTGATTTGTTACAAGCTGCTCTTTTAATCTGATAGATAAGAGACAAGTCTAAGAAAAGCCGTAAATGAAAAATTAGTTGGAAGAAAGACAAGGGCGAGTCTGCTAGATGGGGGTCTGTTGACTCAAGCGGCCCTCGAGCGTCAGGCAAGCCCTCTCAGCAGCCCCTGTCAGGGTCACGTCAACAATTCGCCTTTCTTCCCCTAAAAAGACACTGTAGCCCTTTTTGCTTCAATGAATTGATCGGCGCAAAATTAAGAATAAATAAATTGAGAATTTTGAGCAGCATGCAGGCTTTAAACTCCCCCAGGGCGCACGTACCCCCGGGCTATTGAGCGGATAAAGGGCGCTTTGCAGAGGACGCACGGTGCAAAATGAGACTGTATGGTGTAATTAACAAAATGGCCTAATCCTATATCTTCACAAATGCAAATATTAGAGTTTTGTTAAAAATGTTTAAGTGAACAATTAAAGGAGAGTTTCCAAGAGCAATCCGGGATCCCGAAGACACAATGACTGGAATAATTTAGTAAATGTGCCCGATCTTACCAGACCCTTTGTTGTTGACACCACCGATAGCTGATGATAAATTCCCAGCAAAGGAAATAACATTTAAAACCAATTCAATTATTTAAATGAAGATTTAAAGTGCCATGGTATAATGGAGCAGGGCGCGTCGAGTCCAGCATCCAAGAGTGCTTTGCTAAAAATGTAATCTGAGCTCCAGTTCTGGTGCGCGTGAAGAAGATGAAAAATAGAAAAGCATGGGAAACAGCCTTTTTTACGTATAGGCCTAAATAAAATAACGCGTGATACTATTTTTTTTTTTACGAGGAACGCAAGCCCGCATGTCTTTCTTAAATTATTAAGTTCTGATGTCGACACGAACGATCATTTATTTTTGAGACCTTGAGCAAAAAAAGTGAATTTTATTAAATAGCTACTTTTTTTGAATAAATAACCAATTCATATTTATAGTCAGGCTATGAGTTGTGAAACGAAATGGTCGTTTTTATTAAACGCAACAAGCAAACACAATAATCACCCTCATCATCAAGTGTCCGCTTAGACCCCTTTAAATAAATTTAAATACAAACATCGATTAATCTGTCTCGTTGACTCGCATATTTTATTCATTTGCGCATTATTGTCTGTGTATTAATACACTACTTTGGGTTTTATTAACCCGCTCTCACGAGACTGTTAAGAACCGTGCGCTAAAGGGCTCAGTGTTTAACGGAGAGGCCCCGCGCCTGGGGGACACCAGGCGCTTTCAGCTGCGTCCCCAGGGAATGCCACAGGGAACCCGATGAATACGCGTCTCTTTGGACTTCTTGACGGAGATCGATCCCGATGCACTTGAGTTGTAAATGGAGGAGCGCGGTGATCCAGTGCTTTAGATAAGCGCACAGACTCTCCGCGCACCCAAACTCTCACAACGATAGTGTTTTAAAAGGTCTAAATCTTTCATCAGTTGTTATCTTTACTTTAAACACAGTCATCTATTACATGCGGCCACAGGCACTCTTCCCTTTAAAGACATTATAAATGTTTTATTTTATTTGTTGGATTGCGTTTAACACGCGCGCTTGTCACCTTGGTGAGCATTAAATTACGCCTTGAGGTTTACTTAATTGGCGAAGACTTTATATGTAAATACACACGATGCTATATATAAAATACATTAATTTAAAATTGCAGAACATTACAACCCTTTATTGCGCACGCTTTATGCATACTTTTCCCTGAATAATCACCATGCCAGCGCATTTATAAAGTGTCACATATTCTTGCAATCGTGATTTAGCATATGTTTTTGCGTATGTGTTTTATTTGTTCGTTTTTGGGGGGGAAACAAAACTGATTGCATTCAATATTGCACGAAAATGTGCAGAACTTTCAGTGTGTTCATCCGCTATTTCGGATTTACATTTGTTCCAAGTCACACGCGTAAGAGAAAGTTTTCTGTCTGACGCTGAATTATTAAAATGAGGGATTTTACGCATGAATTACTAAAAGCTGTTACGATTCAGAAGAAAATTCAAGCCTTATAAATTATAACCTTAGAAGGCTCGGTCTTATTAGGAGGAAGAAAAAAAGAGAAAGTCATGTGTGGCTTTTGTTGCTTTCAATATGTTCACCCAGCTTGTGAGTTGTATTGGATAATATGCTTGTAAAACCAACTGATACGAGGCAAATTGTGTCACTAAGAAATATTCTTTATTTTCAGCATTAAGGTTTTTTAAATAAATAAATATTCTCATTACAATAAAAGTACAACAAATTCTGTCACTGAAGTGACGTATACATCAGATACATCCCATATTTCCATTCTGTCCCCAAAGAAATGTGCTTAAAGCTACCCTGTACGCACCATCCATACAAACAAAGCAACAGTTCTGAATATCTTCTAAAAAAAAAAAAATACAAATACAAATGAAAAAGTCAGTCGAATCAGCTTTGTTCATGTTGGACTGATTTTAAAATCTTTTGGTGACAGGAAATGTATTTGGATGCGGAACTACGGGCTTAAGTTGTTTTCAGAAAAAAACTACAAACATAGAACATGTATACAAATATACAACATTAAAGGGATACACAGACCCCGAACATATATAAAGTTTTTCTTCTTTCTCGCTATTTACAGGTGACGGCGCGCGCGTCGCTTTTTGGCTGCATTCAGGATTCCACTGGAGTCAGTGGCGCACAGAGTCTGTTGAGGTGGTGGTTACGAGGAGCAATGCGCAAAGAGTTCACGGGCTAACGGACAGATCTGCGTCCTCTTTTTCTGATGTCGGGGGTGACATGGGAAGGTCATCCTCTTCCTCAGAGCACCGGGCGGAGGACAGGGACGACGAGCACTTGCAGTTGTGCGCGCCCGTCCTGTGGGATCCGCTTTTGCCTTCTTTTTTGTGCTTGACGCGGCGGTTCTGGAACCAAATCTTGACTTGCTTCTCGGACAGATTGAGGTAAGTTGCGATCTCTATGCGCCGAAGTCTCGAAAGGTACATGTTAGAGGTGAACTCCCTTTCCAACTCCAGGAGTTGCGTGCTGGTGAACGCAGTGCGCATGCGCTTGCTGCTCTGAAGTTGACTGCTGTTATTCTCTGTTGGAAAGACAAAAAGAGTTAAACTGCAGTTGATGATGTGGGTGACTTTAAAACAGAAAAGAAGTTACACAAGTTGACTTTTTATGATGATTGGCGACGCGTCTGACACAACCGACTTACCTATGGATATGCAGTGGAACTGTCGTGGATCTGGAACCGGATAAGTGGCTTGGTATAACCCCGAGCCGCTGAGGTTTACGCCGCTGGATGTGGAATGCTGTCTGGAGAGCGCGGTGTGACAGTATTGGGAGCTGAAGGCAGGAAAGGAAGCCTTGATGAGCGGTAGCGCTGGAGGAGACGAGTGGAGCTGAGATGTGACGCACAGCGGGCAAAAGCACAGCAAACCCGCTTTTCGAGAGTGGCAGGAGCCGGCGGAGAGACCATGGAGTGGATGAGACGGATGCATCGCGTAAGGGAACAACGGCGGGCTGTTCTCGGTCCCTTTTTCGCTGTTCTCCCTCAAAATCAAGGAATCCACCAGAAAAGATCTAGGCATCTTGGCAGCCCTGTGTCTCTTCACCTAATATCTGAGAGTTTGTAAAAGTTTCTCTTTGTCAGTCTCGTACCTAAGGCTGGATGGCTGAATGGTGCTGAAGAGAAAGTGTTCCTGCTTAAATAGTTGGAGAGCCAGTGCGCCCATGTGACGGTTACGCTGAGAGCTCTCAATAGGGTTTTGTGCCTTTTCTCTCGGCATTCACTCTGCACGCTTCCCTATTATTTCACTTGTTAACTAAATGAACTGCATAATGTAGTCCATTCTTGTCAGCCCCACCCACACTGCAAGAGGCGGTACTGCCCCTTCTCCCTTTTAAAAAATACCCACGTTTTATACTATTACTCTTTAGTGTCGTTTTAAACTTTATTTTCTTTCTCACGCGATCACATGGACACTATTGCTCTTTTAATTAATTTCATTCAAAGAGGCACGTCATTTGTTCAGCGTGAACTCATTAGACATTCGGTGCAAATGACGTGCGTCACGAGGCGCATCGGCCCGGATCCACCTGCAACTCAGCCCATCATTAAGTATTATAACTACAATTTTAGGACCGTTTCCGAGAGAGGGTAACAGGGGTATTCTAAAAATTAGATTGCATTATTTGTTGTCTATTATATTGAAATAACAGTTTCATAGTTGTGGATAGAACAAATCTGTCAAAAGTTTTGTTTTTGAAACGGGACTTTTCCTTCACGACCCAAAAATTCTAATTCAGATATCGATCGTTTGCTACATTCATTTAGGATGTATTTTTCACTTAGTTTTATCCCCTTGAACTCTATGCACGTTTTTAATATTTTACCTTTACAGGCTAACGAAGATACTAAATTGATAAATTGATACTGTTTTAGTGGAACGTTCTATTTGGATTATATTCGATACATCCTCTGTTTTGGATGCACACAAACGAACAGAACAGCTATTTCTAAAACCATAATTTGACAACAAGAACTTTTAAAATATAAGTTCTAAGGCAAATGTAGACTATCATTTCCAGCCTCTCTCTCTAAAAAAAAAAAAAAAGAAAGAGAGAGAGAGAGAGAGAGAGAGAGAGAGAGAGAGAGAGAGAGAGAGAGAGAGAGAGAGAGAGAGAGAGAGAGAGAGAGAGAGAGACGCGGAGAGAGAGACGCGCCGCGTCACAACCTCAAAGCGATGAGGTTAAAAAACAGTGATTAATTCCTGCGCGCGGGCCCCCGCAGAGTCCGGGAAGGAATATATAAAAATAACCAGGTTTTCACTCTCCCAGCCCTTATTGAATGTCATTGTGGAGAGTTTTCAATGCGAGAGAGAAAGGCTCGAATTAAAGTGTGTGACAGCGGCGGACAAAGTGGCACAAAGCCGACTCTGTCAGCGAGGGCCCGAATGCACGGCGAGTGAAAGCCCCTGCCCGCCGCGCCCTGATTGAATTAAGTAATAGGAAAACAGTTTCTTTCACTTTAGGTTTGCTAAACAAGATGTTCAAAGGAAAAGGGGATACTAATGTGTGAGTAAACATCGAAACGTGGATTCAACGTTCTAATTGGAATATTTTTTAAAGTTCGAAATCGTTATAAAATGCATGGAGAACCAAAGACAACACATTATGTAGGTAGGTATAGACTCTGAATAAAAAAGAAAGAGATACATCACTAGCTTAATTTAATTTCAGTGAGAGACATTCTCAAGGCAACAGATATGTTTACCTCATGTTTAGGCTAAATGTAAACCATCTTACACACGCATTACAAATTTAATTGATTTTTAGTCACTTTAATTCTTTCAGGGAGAGTTAAAGGCCCATTGAAGTGGCTTGGAAAGAGCTGCATTATTCAACGTGTTGACATAATTTCCACTAAAAAAGGAAGACAGGGCAAGACTTATCAAACAGCTCCTCTCCCTTTAAAAAAAATAGCCAGTAGTGTTTCGTGTGGATCACAGCTCGCCCAGAGCCGTTGAGCTCTGTAAAGCCGCAGTTTCCTCCTAATAGTTTGCACTCCTAATTGCACTCCATATTGCTTTAAAATATAGCATTCTGTGGCGGTGCCAGTGACACTAACTATAGTGTGTGAACAACAAGTGACCGATTTTAGCCAGCTTCAGCGTGTAGGGGCGGGGCTTCAGATTCTAGAGAGCATTTGATTGGACAGAAAATCTGATGAGAAGCTTTAGTGCAAAGTGATGTCTTCAAAATCATTGATCCATATTGGCGGAAGTGAGAGACTGTAAATTTTGAATGCTTAAATCTTCTAAATGCAAATTTTGTCATTGTTTTGGAGCACACTTTGTAAGGCTAACATATTCATACTAAAAGCCAAAAAACTGGAATTTTGATTTAACTAACATCCTTTATGCTACCACGTATACAGTTTACTTTGGAACTCTAAAATACTTTTTAAAAAATCTGATCGGCAGGTTTTGCAAACCAGGCTTGCAGTGAAAGCTTCATTCATCTCTAAATGCACACTGGATGATGATGATGGAGGCAACAAAACAGCATACCGTCCCGTTTACTGGACCGTATCAGAAGTATATGACCTAAACATACGTCTAACATTGCTAATATCAATCCGGGTACCACTGATGGTTCTTGACAAATGCAACAATTATTCTTTCCCTCTTACTGTATCCTCGGAACCGAGCCGGCTCGCTTAATAGAAAGCTCTTGTGTTCAGAACCGCCGGGAGCCTAATGGTAATGGACTGTATAGGCCCAGCCATTTGTTTTATTTTCTGGAAAATGACGAGGGACCCTCGTCTATCGCTCCCTCCCACCAATCCTCACTCCACTGGAATCACCACTCGACTCACATAAGGGGTATAATTTGGTTGCAACTTTGCAGCACCATAATAGTAGGTCTTTGCCGGACAAATTAGGAGCAATTAAACCCTTAAACAAGCAGCAGGTACAGAGTCACACGGACAAGAGCCTGCTATCCGATAGGGAGTGAAAGAGGGATGGTGAGATGGGGGATCGAGCCTTTCATTTTGCTCGACACCGCATGCCAGGCGCGCACCATTAACTAATTGAAGAGTGCGCTTCTATACCCGTGCCCCACCAGACCTTGTTTTATTCCAAGTCAATAATTACCGAAATGGCTTGATGATGTTATTATAATGTAAAGCGGACTTAATATCAAGACATTTTGTTTTATTTTGATAACATCAATTACTGCCATTAGAGTCTCCTTGGGGATTGGTTAGTTCGACTACTATGTAACCAAGTTTCAATTAGGGTACAACGGGGCTAAAGGCGCACCGGGGTAAAAGGCGCCTTTGGTTTTATTTTCCTCTAAACCACTAGATGGCACAAAACTTGCAGCACTTTCCAAAACATAAAGATGCACATGGGAATTTGGCTGATCCTTGACACTGTGCTAACTTCATCTATAATATGTGATGTTTTTTTAAAAAATGTTGTAGATTTAAAGGTGCAAAACGCAAGTCTCTGAGTTTTTGCAGAACTACGCCCCCTCTGGCGACAAGCGAAACTGCAACCAATTCTGATTGTATACATGTATCTAGCTTACGCTAAAGCATTACACATTTTACGCATCGTCATTTGTTGTCATACATAGATTGGCCGTATCAAACATTAGAGACTGGGCTATATCTTACTGTTTTATCAAGAAAAAAGCCAACTGAGGATCTCGTTTGAGACCAAGAGCAGACCGGAGATCTCTCCATTTGTTGAATGCCTTCCCGAGGTTGACTCTCGTCTTACTCCGACGCCTGTCTGACTCCAATTTGGACCTTTTGGTGGCACTAGACAAAATGTTTCTTTTCTTTACTTTACGTGGAGTTTGCGTTGGGGTTTGGAATGGACTACGAGCCAGTCTCTTTGAATCCATCTTCTACCTTTGACGCACGAGTTGTCTTCGCTGATGCGGAGAATGGCGGCGCCGGCGAATACACAAACCTGCGAGACATAGCCTGGTGAGCGTGAACGCGCATGACGTCACGCCCAGTCTCAAATTCGAGCCCGAATCCCTCTTATATATTTTACTGTACAGGATTATAGAGGCAATCTCAGTGCGCAGAGATGGGCTCATTCAGCCCATCAGGCAGTTCTTTAAGCATGTATAGGATAGAAAAACAGGTATTTTTAACATGAAAAGTTGCGCAATGCACCTTTAAGTAGCAAATGAGAATCACTAAAATTATTGAATATATTTTAAGACAAAGGTCTTGTTAATGATTTTCAGTTTTGTTCAAGGTAATTAAAGCAACAGTTTTTCAATAACGGAAGAATATGTAAAAGTATTGGTGTAAAAAGCGCCCCAAAGGTACAAAAATTAACATGATAATAAACAACTGGCTGACTTTTCCATTTGTTGACATGCGTTGTTAGATTCAGATGGTAAATATCATATATTAAGTTGGGTGTCCACTTTAGAGATATCACCATATTGAGAATGAAACCATTATATTTAAAAACGTGATATTAATCATATCATAGCCTATAATAAAATATAATTGCTGAAATATATATATATATATATAACTATATAATACTGTAAAGCTACGTCTTAGTGTTGCTTATCTTGGCGAAAGCCGAGTACAAATCAGCATGAAGTTTTAACATCTACTCTCGTGTAATGGAAATCATAACAAATTATATATTGTTACTACTGTAAAGGTATATTAAATTGTTATGGGATCTCCTTCAATGCTTTCAGAATCTTTACTTTTTCAAATAAGTTTGTTTCTGTTTTTTTAAAAATGTTTTTATGACAGTATATTTATTGAACAAAAATGAATTATTTTATTTATCAAAATACACAGAAAATAGTACAAACTTTACTAAAGTGATTGATTTGAACAAGCATTAACATATTATTTTAGGTAAAGTATTAGGGTAAATAATTTGTGTCTGTGGGGCAAAAAGTCCACCTCATAGGCCTACATTTGTACGATTTTTAAACGAAATAAACCACTTTTATGATTTATTTTCAAACAAAATCTGTTGCTCCATAAATATTCAAAACAAACATATATATATATTTTTCTGCAATCATATGGAAGTAGTGAAAAGCAATGTTTTTCTTAAGTGTGCCTTTAGCCTCGTTGTAATCTAGGCCTACTCTATAAAATAGTTTCGCTTGTTTGATTTTGAGTCATTGCGGTTTCCATGGAGAAGCACCTGCGATCTCTTTATCGGCGAGTGAGTGCTTCTGCTCAGGGAAGCTCATCCTCATTTGTACTCTCGACTGGAGACCGACAAATAAGTTTGACCTCCGCGG